GGTACCTTTCAAGTATCGGTACACCGTGCAACACTAGTCAGGAGTCAGTGTCTCTCCCCCAAACTCACACATATAAAATTCGATATGAACTGAAGAGCCGCATGAAACTAGGCAAAGAGCCGCATGCGGCTCGAGAGCCGCGGGTTGGCCACCCCTGACATAGCTCATGAGCTGAAGAAAAAAAATGGCAAAAGACATTACAGAAAACCAAAGAAAACTCTGTGTTTTGGTCGATGAATCTACCACTATTAGTGGTAAAACGGTGCTTGTTGTGTGTCTACGCTCAGCATTAGCTGATGCTGAGCCCGAAACGTTTTTTTGGGAGCTGATCGAGTTGGATGGAACAACGGCTGATGACATCACAAAGGCGTTAATGGAGTGTCTTGGAAGAGATTTTAACGAGGACTTTTTAGGTCAGTGTTTCGTTTCTTTTGCATGTGATGGGGCTTCAGTCATGCTAGGGAAGAGAACAGGCGTTGCTACCCAGTTGTGTAGTAAATTCCCAAGCCTGTTTGTGTGGCACTGCTCCAATCATCGTCTAGAGCTGGCAGTTGGGGATGTGGTCAAGGAGGTCTCAGGGCTCAATCATTTCCAGATCTTTTTTGACAAACTCTATTCCTTGTTCCATGCCTCCCCCAAAAATCAGAGGCAGTTAGCGCAGTGTGCGCAAGCAGTCGGACAGCGTCTCCTGGTGATAGGGCGTGTTTTGTCCATCCGCTGGGTGGCTTCAAGTGAAAGGAGCGTCATAGCAGTCTGGGAAAACTACCGAGTGCTTCATGATCACTTCACAAATGCTGCAAACGACACGAGCAGGGATTCCAGAGACAGAGCAAAGTACAAGGGCCTGGATGATGTGCTCACATCTGCAACGTTTGTCAGCAATCTGGGACTGATGTACGATGCGCTCACAGAGCTCAGCGACCTCTCTCGGCAACTCCAAAAAAGAGAGATGACACTGCCTACAGCAGATAGGCTCTTAACTCGAGAAATACGAGTTTTTGAATCCATGGTCACCATGCCTGGCCCACACATGACTACAGTTCATACAGCTCTAGCTGAGAAGTCCTTCAAGGGTGTTGCCCTGCGTGAGAATGGCAGGCTTGTACAGATTCATGCAGGTCAGTTTTTCCGCAGTATGGTAGAGAATCTGAGACACAGAATGACTTCCACAACCTCCTCTCATGTCAGCACAAGAGAAATCCCATTACATGGCCGGGAGGCCCGGGACAATCAGCTAATCCAGGACATGAAAGTTATCCATCCTGGAAGTTGGCCTGAAGAGGAGTTAGACGTACAGTATGGGGACGTAGAGGTGCTACGTTTGTGCGAAGTGCTGAAAGTGGACAGAAGAGAGACTGTTCAGGGCTTTCGCGAATACAAGGAAACCAGGGCATCCCGTACACCTGCTGCCATGGAGCCTCTACTGAAAGCAGTCCGAACCATCGCTGTCTCCACTAGTGAGTGTGAGCGGGCATTCAGCTGCATGAACGATATCCTTACTGCAAAAAGGAATGCTCTCTCTGTCAGCCGACTGTCCAGCCTGGTTTTCATTAAATGTAATGGACCATCACTAGGACAGTTCAATCCGGAACAGTATGTGAGGTCCTGGCTAGCAAAGGGAAGGAGAAGTGCTGATGAAAGAGCCTGTCCAGCTCCAGCCCCTGATACTGATGTCCCCAAGGCCTTCTGGAGCCTTTTCTAACAATGTGAAGTATATTGCAAAGCAGCTCACCCAGTGAGAAGACTTTTGGCATAATGTGCCGATTTGTACAGATCCTGGAGATAGAAGGACTTCAGACCAACCAGGGAGTTATCTGATCAGCTTGGTGTTCAATGTAACTCTTTACCATGGCTCAGACTTTGTTACTTGCAGTTACAGTTTCTCATTTTAGATTGTGCAAATTTTGCATTTGTTTTTACATGTTCTTTGTTCATGCTCTTTATCATTTTTCTGAGTTGGAAAGTTAGATTGCATCATAGTTTACTTTATACATATTTGTATTCTTCAGTGGTGAAGTATATTGCAAAGCAGCTCAGCCATGTGAGAAGACTTTTGGCACTTTTTCGTTTTTCGTTTTCTGAGTTGGAAAGTTAGATTGCATTCAAAATGTACAGAAATACTTAATCTTGTTAAAGCTTTTTATAAAAAATGCTTCTGACCAGAGCTTTGTTTCCTTGTCATTAATGTTGAACACCACCAGAGGGGCTCTCACCTGAAAGGTCTCTGCTTCATGTGTCTTCAGCAGAAGATCTAGACTTTGATTGCTATATTTTCAGTTAATATTGACCTTACTGAGCTTTAGCCATATCCGCTGCCTATCATAAAAAATGTTACGTACAGTGAACCTTTCTAAAATATACAGTAGTAAAGAGACAAACCCACCAGCATTATAGTAGCCAAATTCTTGTTTGTGGGCTGTATATATAAAATTGACTTGAAAAAGTTGCTGATTTTAGAGTACTGGCACCTTTTTCATTCCAATTCAAGCACTGGTCATAGTACCCTTGAATGAGTGCTCCTGCCAGAGTTTTCAGGGTGTTTTTGTTTACCAGAGAGGAGATCCGGTATAGGAATCTAGTTCTTTGATTGACTTTTTTTATTACATCGGATGCCATTTTGTCACAGGAGAGGTTTGCCTCAAGAATAGATCCTAGGTATGTAATTTCCTTCTTACTTGTGACAATAATGTCGCCCACTGCAACTGAGATTTGCTGAGATTATGTTTCGAACCGAAGAGAATGGACTCTGTTTTACCCAGGTGTAATGATAATTTATTATCGGTGAGCCAGGTGCAGATTCTGCCGAGCTCGGAGCTGAGGGTTTTTTCAACCTGCAATCTGCTCCTGTCAGAGACCAGCAGGGCTGAGTCGTCCGCGAACAGGAACAAGTTGCAGTCACATGCTGATGACATGTCGTTTGCATAAATTAGGAACAGTAACGGACCTAATATGCTTCCTTGTGGAACACCACAGCTCACTGGGAGGGGGGGGGACAGAGTACCGTTTACCTCCACCATCTGTTCTCTCCCCTCCAGGTAGGATTGCATCCAGCTCACCGATAGTTTATCAAAACCAATTGCTTTTAGCTTGTCAATCAGAATGGGGTGATTGACAGTGTCGAAAGCCTTTTGTAGGTCCAGCATCACCATGCCGCAGTACTTGCCCTCGTCCACCTCTTGATGTGGTCGCTCAAATAAAGAAGGCATGTGTCAGTGGAGTGGGATGTTCTAAAGCCAGATTGAAATTCATAGATTAGTTTCTTTTCCGCGAGGTACTTTTCGACCTGTTCATATACTATTTTTTCCATGACTTTCGAGATGGAGGTAAGTATAGAAACAGGGCGGTAGTTGCCTGCATCCAATTTGCTGCCCTTTTTGTGCAGGGGGGTTACTCTTGCAATTTTGAAGTCTTTGGGTACTTTTCCCTGTTTTATGGAGAGGTTAATTATGTGAGCTATGACTGGTGAGATGGCGGTTGCTGTGTCTCTGAGGAATTTGGAGGGGATATTGTCGTGGCCAGTGGCCTTGTTAGGTTGGAGGGCGCTCAGTTTAATGAGTACCTCTGCTGTTGTTACCCTTGCTAGACTGAAATCATCTTTGCGTACCCCTAGGTTTTTGTAGTAGGTCATGATGTGATCTACTCCAAAAAGCCCTGAGTGGGAGGGTAATTTATTTACAAAAGTTGTGGCTATGTTTGTGAAAAAAATGTTCAAGTACTTGGCCACATCCAGTTTGTCTGTGATGAGCCTGTTATCTGTCTTTATGTTTAAGTTCGAAAATCTCGTTTTAAGTTTTTTACTGCAGCCAAGCTGGTTATTGAGTAATTTCCAAAGTTCACGGGGTTTATTTTTGTTTTCCTCAGTTTTGACATTGATGAAACTCTTTTTGGCAGTTTTGATCATGGAGCAATGCTCTGGGGGGCCAAACGGCTCCGTGTCTACACCCTATACCACATGTGTCAAACTCAAGGCCCGGGGGCCAAATCAGGCCCTTGGTGGATTTAATTTCGGCCCGCAGGATGATTTCAAATTACTATTAGATCTGGCCCGTCGCTATATTGCACGCACACCTTCACTCAATCCTGAGGGTTTCCTCAGCTCAGAGCCTGACCCCAAACATTGATGAACTTGCACTCAAGATGAGATGCCAAGTATCTGGCTCGAACTAGCATCACAGAGCAGAAAACTGAGTTTACATGGATGTTTCCTTCTGCACTTTTTCTCTCACGACAACAGGGCATGTTTGGTTTTTTCTTTGAGGGAAATCGTTTTTTTGAAGCTGTGGAAAAATGTAATCATAAGAAATGACTCTGCAGATAGAGCCATAAGAAATGAATGCAACTGATTATTTAATGTTTAATGTTGTTTTTATAGGCAATCATTTAAGCTTTGTTAGTTCAAGGTTTAATATGTGCAATAAGTTCATTTCAATACGTTTTGCAATAGACATTGAACCTGTACGGCCCTCGGCCAGTACAGATTTTTTTATTTTGGCCCACTGAATATTTGAGTTTGACACCCCTGCCCTATACAATCATTTCCTGATAACGATGACGCAATAGCCCCACCTCTCCCCACCTCTACTGCTCCCGCCGCGTCATTGCTGATGTGTTTCGCCAACAACAACAACAACAACAATGGCGGATCACAGGGTTGATTTTAGATATTTTGGTAAAATTACTTCTGCCTAGTGTTAGATTAGAAGGTCAATACTATTCTCATAGGTGAAAGGTAAATACAATACAACAATGCTTAGAGTAGAGATTGGAAAATAGAGGAAACACCTAATATTTCCTGAATATCGTTGGTGGTTTCCAGACAATCTCATGTCGCATTTATATAATTTAGACAATTATAAAGTCATACATTCATTGGTTATCTAGAAATATTAACTAATGTTATCTCTAACATGTTTTTTTAAAATTATGGATAGAGTTACTCCATGTTCAGCTGAGGAATCAAGAAAAACAGGTATGAGGAGGGAGTGGCATATAACATCATCTGTGGGATGGCAATGACAGACTTAATCATACTCTCTGCGCTTACTGACAAATGTATCGACAGCACAGGATGGTAGCCTGGACGGTGTGGACCCTCCTGATGTGTGCAGTCCTCACTGGGCAAGGTGAGCTTTTACCAGAAAATTGTCCATTGTCCAAGTGTTAGAGGTTATTTTTAGTTCTTAATAACATCTTAGAATAAAGATTGAATATAAACTCTATAAAGACAGGGGCTTTGTCTCGTTGATTTTACAGAGAAATTAATTCATGTTTTTGAAATTGTAATAATTATCTTTAATTGATTGATTGTAAATCATAGGTAGGTGTATTCAAGTTTTCAAATGGGTTTGAGAGAATGACTTGCAATAACTTGGTTATTGTCAGCCTCGTCACCTGTTAACATAACACTGTCTGACCGGTCTGCCGAGATATTTAGGCCTAACAATTAAACATACGCACACACACACACACACACACACACACACACACACACACACACACACACACACACACACACACACACACACACACACACACACACACACACACACACACACACACACACACACACACACACACACACACACATTATTAACTCATGTTTCTCTCTTCCTTGTGTCTCTCCAGGCTCAAAGGCGCAGAGTGAGTTCAGTAACATTTAACAATGAACACATCTAAAACGGCACTCCATTTCCTCCAGGTGTTTCTGGGACATTCCTACACATTTTCCTCTTTCCCTAAAACACATTTTTACAATCCAGAAGTGAATTTAAAACCATCCTAAAATCTAAATGTTCTGTAAATGATTTCCTTGTATATCGACAGTAACTTAAAGGTGGGGTAGGTACATTTGAGAAACCGGCTCGAGATACTGTGACGAAGGTAACTTCGTCACTATGGACTGACGGCTTCAGGCCGGGTAATATTGCACTTTATTAGCGTGATTGCACAGTACAGTTGACATTACATATTTGCACATAATTCATACTAATTATTGAGGTAGTATCTTTTAACTGATTAAACCGTATTTATTGGAATGTTGTCTGGCAGGTACTGGTCGGGTCCTCGGCTCCGCCTGAAAAGATAGGGGAGTTTGCGAGAGCGCCGAGAGTAGTTATGCTGGTGTAAGGATGACAGCGGTTGAGAGTAATCAGGGTGCAAATAATATGTTGATGTCTGTGTGGCTGATGATTGTGTGCACCTGGTGTCCTGTGTTGTCTCCTCCCCCCTCACCTGTCTTGTTGTGCTGATTAGAGTGTGTGTATTTAGGCTCTGTTTCCCTGTCTGTTGAGGAGGCAGGTAGTGTGTGTGAGATCCTTGTGGCTGCAGGCTGTGCTGTGCTCAAGGAAACAACAGCAGGATTAAGGCTGTGTGTGTCATTGTGTTCATGCTGTAATAAATGCCCACACCGGGTTGTATTTTGGACGTTCTGCCTCTGCCTCCTTGCTTGGTCGGGCCGCTCAATTGTCAGCTTCACAGATACACTTTTTGTTATATTCCATGGAATGCTCTTAACATCCTGATAGCAATGAATATCTTAAATGCTTTGACAAAAAATCCATACAAAAATGTCATCTGTGGAAGCCGTAGTACTGTAAAAAGCACGACCAATCATTTTAGCCGGCCAGGCTAAAATAACTGGATGGCCTACCTGCCTGTCAGCCTTCCATCTGTTCACAAATGTATCTCGTGCCCTCATTGGTCATGTGCGCGTTCGTGTGTGTTGGAGGAGGGGCTCTGTAAGGAAGTGGCAGATTTTTTTCCAGCTGTGTATTTTCAAATTCTAGCGCACTCGAGCTGGTTTCTCCAAAATGACCTACCCCACCTTTAATGAAAGCAACAATGTCCCAACTAAGGTATTCATCAATAATAATCACCTATTCAGCCAATATTGGGTTGAAGGCTTAAAGGGACAAATTACGCTATAGAGCCAAAGCCCTCCTCTGGAGCCAAATTAGGAAATAATACTGAGGATAACAAGACATTGACAAAAATAATAGGTTTTCTCCAAACAGCTTACAAAGTGCCAAACACTGCAGTTCATCAAGTGGCCACTAGAGGCCGGCTGCAGAAAGGAGTGAATCTCCATAGACCCCTATGTTAATTAAGTCAGATTTTGGTCCGTATTGCCTACTTAGATATTCATGGTAACTCACCAATTCAAAGTCAAATGAGTCTTGAGTGGAACTTTCGTGCCGGGGCCCTTAATATCCGACACACCTGAAGTGGATGTATTAGCCTAATTTGAATGTATATTAATTACACACAGTTGTCTCTGTCAGATTGTGGAGTAGCACGCCTGAACACGAGGGTAGTTGGTGGTGGAAATGCCACAGCCGGGTCATGGCCCTGGCAGGTCAGCATGCACAATATAGGGCAAAGTCACTTCTGTGGAGGGACCCTCATCAGTGACCAGTGGGTCCTCACAGCAGCCCACTGCATTATAAGGTAATATAATATCCTACTACCTGCATCTGTTGCCTTTTCCAACTCTATACTAAAACGTTATCACTCGTAGCTTCGAACAATCGGTGGCCATTACCTGATTCACATAAGCATTACAGTAGAGTGTTTTATTCTGTGGCTGCAATGCACATTAAGCATACATACATACACATGTAATGAGTCTACAATGGTATTCACAAAGGCTGTCTTTGTTGTTAAACAGTAAACAAAGAGTAAAGGTAAACAAAAACAAAAATCACGTCATGCAGAAACACAAAAAACCAAGCCACCATTATGTTGTTTTGTAACCCTTGGTGCAGACTTTTAACCACCTTAACCTCCAGACACCAAATGCCTTCTCACATAAAACAAGTGTAAAGGACCCTGCAACTCTTAAAATTACAAACCCTGACAATGTGCAACCATACATTTCTTTATGTCAAAATGTGTTCAGTAGAAGTCTTTATTAATTTTCCCGTTCTTTTCCAGTGTCACACCTAGTTCATATACTCTCTACTTTGGAAGAGAGACTCAGTCCGGCCCTAATGTTCATGAGGTTAACCGCACTTCGTCCCAGATCATCCTCCATCCGGACTACAATAACACATGGTTTAACAACGACATCGCCCTGATGAAGCTCAGCAGCGCAGTCAGTTTCAATGACTACATCAGACCTGTATGCCTGGCGAGTAACTCCAGCCAGTTTCACAACTCCACCTCCTGCTGGGGCACAGGTTGGGGCCGAATAGGAAAGGATGGTGAGTATTTGTATGCTAACCCTAGCATGAACCTTGAAGCACAGCACTTCTGTTTTAGTTTGGTTGGGTAGAACTATTGCAAACTAGTTGTCTTGCTAACAGACAACCTCTCCTACTCTCTATGAATTAAACTGAATCGTTACCTTACATGTTACTTGTTAGACACTTTTATCCAAAGCGACTTACATACTCAATACTGTGGGCAATCCCCACAGGAGCAATTTGGGGTGAAGTGTCTTAACCAGGGACACAACGACATGCTGACTGCAGTCGGGTTTGAACCTGTGCTCCCCTGATCCGAACACCACCGCACTAACCCACTACGCCACACGCCTCCCCTGAATCCATAATAAATGTTGATTGGAGAGATTATAGATCATGTTAAAACAAAGTAGTTGTTTCTGTTCAATATTTAGTTTATATCTACAGTAAACATCAATTTAAACTAGACGATGAATAAGGAAAAAATGCTTTATCCAGTTTATATTCTATCCACACGCCTTTTTTTCACATCACATTTTTTGCTAGTCCCACCCCTGCCAATTATTAATGTTTGAGGTACAAAAACAATTGCATTATCAGAAGACTTGTTGAGTCTTGTTCAGCTTGTCCCAGAATACGAAAACAATCCCTTAAAACTGTGCAAAAGAAGGAAAATTAAAAGTGTGTCTGTCTTCTGATTTTTGACTCTCTCTCCCACAGAGGCCTTACCGAACGCTTACTCGCTGCAAGAGGTTCAGGTTCCTGTCATTGGAGGAAAGCAGTGCGGTTGCATCTACCGCTCAGAAGTTAACATCACTAATGAAATGATTTGTGCGGGACAAGAGAACAAAGGCATATGTCAGGTTGTAAAAACAATCCCTTGTATTAGCTGTGCTAATTTTCTTTGTTGCTATTAAAGCTATTAAAGATGTGTTGTTTTTTGTTTGTTTGCCCCGACTGTGCATTTGTTTTTAAGGACATTACTTTTGATAAAAAACTTGTTAAAGTTAACAATTTTGCTTAAGAAGCCACATTCTCACAGAGAGTCGAGGCAAAGCAGCCAGAGGACACAGAGAGAAACAAATGAAAGAGAAATATGATCTTGTTGCACCCAAATCAAACGACAATCATCTAACAGTTTTAGTTTTGTCCCTTCTTTTCAGGGGGACTCCGGTGGTCCTTTGCAATGCAAACAAGCCTCAACGTGGATCCAGTCTGGCATCGCCAGTTTTGGAATACCGTGTGCTACAGCTGGTTTCCCTGAAGTCTACGCCCGAGTGTCTGAGTTCGAGACTTGGATAATAGATAAAGTGGCGGGGGCGAAGGTAAACTTTGTGACTTTCACCTCCGCCGGCACTGACCAAGACAACAGTTTCAAGTGTCGCAGTTCACCCACAAAAGCTCCAAATACGACTTCCACAGCTGTTTTTACTGAGCTTACATTGATTGTCATTGTTGGGACAGTGCTCCTGCAGCACACTGTAGCTCCATAGTGCTGCAATGCGCTAACAACTTCTCAATGTCCTTTTCTGTTGTGTTGGGTTATGTCTCTTACATTGTTTGACTAACATTCTACTTATATGTACTACATCAGTAGTTTTAGAGCATGGTTTTGTCTCTGTGGAAAGGTTTTTTGCACTTACAAACTTAATTCAAAATGCATCTTGTTTAAAATACCAATGATTGTAATAGCTAATGGTATAGCCATTCTTGTTGTCAGTTGCACTACAACACCCTATATTAAAGCAAATAATAAAAGATGATCTGTTTTTCTCTTTCAAAAAAGATCACAAACCTCTTTATATTTTTTTATTCCAGATATGAACAATATAGCCTAATATTTAAGTTGTATGTAACTTCACACCATGGAACTGAATAGTCATTGTGACTAAGGTGGAGCACGACTCGCTTCAAGACATGTAACCTACCACAATAATGACTTCCCTATAGTGAATGATAGTAGTTATACACATACCACTTCAATCTCATTAGTATGCATAGAAAGTGACAGGTCACACCTCTAAGCCCCGCCCCCTTCCGCCGGAAGTCCCGCCTCCTTCTGCCGGAAGTCCCGCCTCCATAAACCACGCCCACTTCCACCGGGGGTCCCGCCCCCCATAGGCCCCGCCCCTTCCACCGGAAGTCCCGCCCCCACTTCCGGTTTTTTCAAAAATAAAATTAAAAAATATTTTAAAAATGATAAAAATAAAAATGCTGCCCCTACCGGTCGCCCCCGCATCCGGTTTTCAAAATAAAATAACATGACATTTAACAACCATGAGAAAAATAAAATGCTGCCCCTGCCGGTTTTCAAAATAAAATGTGAAAATAATTTGAAAATGATAAAAAAAAAAAATGCTGCCCCTACCGGTCGCCCCCGCTTCCGGCAAAATAACATGAAATGTAACAACCAGGAGAAAATAAAATGCTGCCCCTACGGTTTTACAAAATAATAATTTTATAATGAATCACATATGCATAGGATCAATGTCCCTGCCACCTAGTCACTTCCTGTGCGCCTGTATACAGCAGTATTGACTGCAACTTACAAATACTTGCAAATAACATGAAATATACAACCATATATTTTAAAAGTAATGTCTCCGCTCTAAAGAGCAAGGTCCCGCCACCTAACCACTTCCTGTGCCCCCTGTATACAGCAGTATTGACTGTAACTTACAAATACTTGCAAATAACAAGAAATATACAACCATATATTTTTAAAAGTACTGTCAATCTCACTAACTCTTTCTCTCTGCTATTCTCTGCCGTGAAAAGTTTGGTGAACAGTCAAGACAGGTGTGGGGACCATAAAACCCCCGACATCCTCTGCAGGCAAATGGTGGGAACACACACACACACACACACACACACACACACACACACACACACACATACACACATCCCCCACCACTCACCCCTCATCCGTTAGGGTTAGATAAATAAGAGCCATTCGTCTTTCTCACTCTTCAATATTTTCTCAAGTCGAGAGAAATGGCCAAGAGACGTCTTGATATGGGTGTAATCTGCGAGACACCGCCACCTAGTCACTTCCTGTGCGCCTGTATACAGCAGTATTGACTGCAACTTACAAATACTTGCAAATAACATGAAATATACAACCATATATTTTAAAAGTAATGTCTCAGCTCTAAAGAGCAAGGTCCCGCCACCTAACCACTTCCTGTGCCCCTGTATACAGCAGTATTGACTGTAACTTACAAATACTTGCAAATAACAAGGAGAAAATAAAATGCTGCCCCCTACGGTTTTACAAAATAATAATTTTATAATGAATCACATATGCATAGGATCAATGTCCCTGCCACCTAGTCACTTCCTGTGCGCCTGTATACAGCAGTATTGACTGCAACTTACAAATACTTGCAAATAACATGAAATATACAACCATATATTTTAAAAGTAATGTCTCAGCTCTAAAGAGCAAGGTCTCGCCACCTAACCACTTCCTGTGCCCCTGTATACCGCAGTATTGACTGTAACTTACAAATACTTGCAAATAACAAGAAATATACAACCATATATTTTTAAAAGTACTGTCAATCTCACTAACTCTCTCTCTCTGCTATTCTCTGCCGTGAAAAGTTTGGTGAAACAGTCAGAAGACAAGCTAGGACACGTCATAATACCCCCCGACATCCTCTGCAGGCAAATGGTAGGGCGATGGGGAGGGGGGAACACACACACACACACACATTTAAATTCAGAGGATGAAAAAGCAGAAAACATAACTTGTTTTGTAAAACGGTCAGCACGTCAGTTTCAAGAAAGACGTTTGCATACATACAAAAGTGTATCTTACAGTTCCTTTTGTGAGAGAATTACACACAAATCTGCAGAGTGTCACTAAAAAGTTGTAACACAGGGACTGACATTCTGTATGGGGTTTCACACGGACACAAAGTCTACTTCATTATCTACTTTGTCAGCTTTTATACACAAAAGTGTATCTTTCAGTAACTTTCTCAGAGAATTTAAGCATACATCTGTCAAAGATTCTTAACGAAATCTACTTCATTATCTACTTTTCAGCTTTTATACACAAAAGTGTATCCTTCAGTAACTTTCTCAGAGAATTTAAGCACGTCAGTTTCAAGAAAGACGACAATAATTAGTAGTTAGACATTTTGGAGAAATGTTCTCTGTCGTTCTTAATGCAAAAACAAATCATCTCTACTCCCTTTGGGTGAAGTCCAGGAATGTTCTCGGGGGGAGTGGACACTTGCTGTTACATGGCATAAAGCTTCTGCAGTGTGCCAATAAATGTATAGTTTCCCTAAAGCTCCATACATTTACACATATTGACTAATGACATGAGGGGTAAATACAAAACAAATCTAAATATCACCAATTATTCCAGAATGTGACTAGAATAGAGTCTAGAGAATGGACCCAGGCTTTGTCTTCAGCCATCAACTAAATAGGGGCGTGCTTTTTTTTTTTTTGAATCACCAGTATGTTACTCACCATTGAAGACAGTGTTGAGGGGGCAAGCAAAGTGTACTCAGCGGCAGATTGCATGGAAGCAGAAAGGCCTGGCTCAGACACCATGTCTCCAAAGGTTGACGGGGAACTTCCAACCAGTTCCATCACCTGTTTAGCTTGAGGGAATTTAAACACCATTAAAAATATGGATTACAGAAAAACAATATATGTAGTAAATCGGGTAATCATTAATAAGGGGAAAATGTGCAAGTCTAACCTGAGTCTGGCATGAGCACTTGATCAATAAGGTGGATGACAATGTCCTTCTTGAGCACCATCTTGATGCCATTGACTGTTAAACTCTCGCCATCACAGCCTTGAAATCAAAGTAACGCTTCTAAAAACATATATTTTAGAAAAGTAATGTTAGTCATGTCAAGTTATCAAGACTGCTGTGTTTCATCGAAACAGTGTACAGAGCAGAAAGGGGAACATTTGTCGCCACATTAACATACCGACTCCTCTATCAGTTTTTGCATACATAAAAAGTGTATCTTACAGTTCCTTTTGTGAGAGAATTACACACAAATCTGCAGAGTGTCACTAAAAAGTTTTACACAGGGACTGACATTCTGTATGAGGGTTTCACACCTGAGCTGCTGGGGGGAGGGCGTTGAAAAGGGGGTGAGTATGTTTTGGCTCTCTGGTGTGTTAAGAGTCACAGTCTTAAAGAAAAATCTGGTCAGAAAAAGTACTTAACTTTCTACCAGTTGTAAATTGTCTTACATATAAAAAAAGTAAGAGACTTACTGTTTCCTTTGTGAGAGAATTACACATAAATCTGCAGAGTGTCTGTAAAAAGTCTCAAAATCACAAACTGCAGACGCCTCAAGGAGAGACTTGAAAAGATCCATGCCGAGTGGGGGGAGAAGAAGAAGACTAATAACCAGCAGTTGACTGAAGCCAGGGACTTTTTTCTTTAAAGTAAAATAAAAATGGGAAACTACTATGCAAAACGCTCTGTATATATTGATCAGAATGTAGTCAATACCCTTTTAATAAGTGTGGTGATGAGGACGATTGAAAACAGAACGAGTAGTGACCCCTGTGTAAACAGAATGGCTGAAGTTTGTAAACTAGAAGACATTTTGGCTATCGTGCGTTCTGGCAGTACTATCCCCGGTCATTGGGAAACGATTGTAAACGAAACATTTAAAGTGGTCCTGGAATCTTCATTTTCCGAAACATTCTGTAACATTATCTCAGAAATGAAACAAACATCAAAAGTGTATCATGTGCTCTCAGTGTATGCTCTGTTTGTAGATGTAATGCATCTCTGTGCAGAAAGCAGCATACACATGAATATTCTGACTGAAGTGAAAAACTCCATCACGATATCTCCAGTCATATGGGGAATTCTAAGCTGGAGACGGTCCTGCGGATGTTGCAATCAGTATAACTATTTGATTTTTGGGTGTGAAAAATAAAAAAGTGTTTTTACATTTAAAAACTGTTGTCTTCATTATAGCAAGGGGGGAGCGTGTCTCATACATGTGTATTACAGTCCTTCTTTTTGTGTTTTTCAGTGTTTTTCTGTGTGTCTGTACACACAAAGCACAAATCATTTCAAACAAACCCTGAATCAAATTTAGAGAGGACCATTAAGAGTCAGATTCTTAATGAAATCTACGGACACAAAGTACTTCATTATCTACTTTTCAGCTTTTATACACAAAAGTGTATCTTTCAGTATATTTTTGAGAGAATTTAAGCATAAATCTGCCAAATGTTTCAAAAACAGCCTTGTTTCACTGAAATAGCCTCAAAATCACAAACTGCCATTAAGAGTCAGATGCTTTTACGGAATCTAATAAAACAGAGTATTTTCTACAGATGACTCCTCCCACTCAACGCAATAAGTACCATCCCATTCAGCAAATCATATAAAACTAAGGACCCCCACTAAGACGACCGTTGAAAGTAGCCATGAATCTGAGAAAAACCAAGTCTGATATAGCCTCCCCTTATTATCACCAGGATAACGGATATGGGCTTAATGACTGGATGTTACAAAGTAGGGGAGAGGATGTTCCCGAAGAAGAGCCCTCCTCTATATCATATCCATGTAAGGTCTTTAGGACAAAAGAGGACCACGATAACATGACATATGAAGAATATCTTTCTTTAAAAGATGGTATTATAGATAACCTTTATAGAAACAGTATATCTCATAGCACTCGCCAAGATCGCAAACGACAATTAGCAGAAAAGAAAAGAAAAAGTAAAGAAAAACGAAGAAAAATGAAAAGGAGAAGAAAAATGAAAAGCAAACGCAGAAT